CATCGCAGGCGGCGCCCATAGCGCGGCGAATCACGATCCACTTGTCACATACCCGGTGAAACCTGTAACAGCAAGCTCGTCAAGCCACCATGGTAAAACCTGTCAATCCTTGTAAGCTTATGAAATACTCTCTAGATGGCTCGACACGTCGATACTCGTCGGGAAGTAGCAAAAGTGCAAAAAATGCCCCCTCTCCCGTTGCAGAACTGCCCAAATATTATTCTAGAATAAGAGGAGACTGACACCAGTGTCCGGACCGAAGCGTTCGATGTTCTTTACATACTAGCTGGCCGACAGCTTCTCTCAGTTCGGTATAAGCAGCACGCAAGGCTTTCATTTCAGAAGAGTAAGAAACTGCATCACATTCCATCTGAGCCAAGAAAGTTCGAGTTAAATCCGTTTGAGCATCTCGAGATTTCACCTGTGAAATATAGCAACATAAAGGGTCCACGATAAATTGTTCTCAAAATCAAGCAAACCTTAGCCATCGGCGACATAGTCTGCACCTGAGCAACATTAGTGAGATGTGCACCTGCGCTACGTACAACTTTGTTCTCGTTTGAGGCCAAGTCCGATACCACTTCAGCCATACGGACATTCTAGACGAAGGGCAGTTAAGTAATATGTGAAGACGTCTGTTATAAAAGAGAACAAACTGACACTTTCTTCGGAGCGTTGCAGCTGTACTCAAATGCGCGATCTTCTTCATCTTTATAGCTGTTCAGTTCGTTCGAATCTTTTCAAGTATCGCGTCGAAGTGCGGAAGATGTGTCCTGGTTGGAAAAGTATTTCTATAAGATCATACCACTGAACAGCACACAGTACCTGTGCAGCCGTGAGGTCCATCTTCCAGCTTTGGTGATCCCTCTGCCTTCTTTCCTGCTCTTCATCCAGTGCTACACGAAGAGCATCAAGTTTTGAGTCACGCTCCGAAACTATCTCTTTCAATGACTTGTTCTAGAAAATAAGTCTCGCATGTATTATTAACTACATCAACGCATACCTGCAGTACTATGCTGCATGTATATGAGACATACGTACAGCCGCATCTATCGTAGCTGATTATGTGATCGCATGCCAAAAGGCGAATCGTCCGAAAATATTTTCTGAGTCGCGTAAGTAAATATGTTTTTGCAGGTTTTTGACGGCTTCATTTCGCCTTTTCGCATTTTCCTCACTATATAGCACCCCTGTTACCATTTTTAGACCGAATACCAAATTATCTAAACTTTGAGTCCCACCATGGTAATCAAGCTTTTCTCCCTCCAAGACCGGGCAAGCGTCAATTCGTGACAGACACTGAAAACGATGACTTGAAACTTCATAATACAATAGGCATTTTTTTCTCCAACTCTAGACTGAAGAGCGTGGTTCAGGTCCCAACAGGTTTATTTCTTACCAGTCGCATCACTTGTCCAACAAGGTTGTTAAAGGTTGAGACAATAATAGTACACGCTCCTCTCAATTTTTTCTCCGTAATCTAGTACTTACTATCTCATGAAAGCCATCTAGCCTACAAATGCTGAGGTAGTAACCATTTGTAAAAAAACAGCATGTGTCAGCTACGAACCCGTTCACTCGCCACAATTGCAGGAATCTCATCCTCAAAAAGTGAGCGAATAGGCGCATCTTTGTAGACTAGACTCTGACCGGATTTCATTCAAAATCACAGAAACATGTTAGAGGTACACTCCGCATTCATTTGATGTGCAGTCGCTTCCTTTGAATGAATCCTTCGTGCTAGCATGGAGGATGTAAAACTCCCGCGGCTCGACAATATGCAAAGAAGAGAGCTTCACCCGCTCGCGACGAGGCCACGGCTCCACCCACTGACCACCGACGCCCAACTTTCACTTCGAGCGACTGCTATGAGAGTAGCTTGCGGCTGTGGTTGTCTCTTGATCAACAATTTGCTATTTATCCGAATTACGATACGTTCCGGCGGATCAGGCGCAGTGCATAAGGAGAAAGAGGTTGGCACCTAGCACGAGAAACCCTCCCACGCCTCCGTTCCCGCCAATGTACGTAGAGGTGCGGTTCTAAATGGCAGCACCTTCGGGAGGCGTGTCCGCCGTCCTTTTCTATCACTTAGTGCATTATTAGCATCATGTCATAGTACATTGAGCAAGCAACAGAATCACTACTTCTGGAAGCCATGAAGCGCCTTCAGATCTCATCGAGTGACTACAATGACAGGTGAGGAGCAGGCAGTGACTGCACCAACGCTCATCTCGAGCAAAGTGATTCTATTTGGACGAGGTTGACCTGTTTTTTTTCGAGAGAATTTTGTCTCTAAAGACGTTCAAAAGCAACCTGGTACCTTCAGCCTTGATGCTATTTTTCCCGGTACTACTATTAGGTTGTCCGGAAAGTTCTTAGCGTTTTGTGCACCTATTTTTTGTACATTCACTGCTGTTTAAAAACTCTTTCTGCCTTGCTTCTCAGTAGCCAATCCTGTAGAGAATTTCTTGCGCTATCTGATGGTATAATTGCCGTTTCACCATTGCTTATTGAACTCCCTTTTTTCAAGATTTTTTCAAAACATGTGAAAAGAGCACTTCGGACGATTTTTTTCTTCGACTATAAATTGGGGCAATCCGCAATCGAAACAGCTCAACAAATTAACCAGGTGTGGGGGCCCAATAGTGCTAGAGAAAGCACTGTGCTGCAATGGCTCAACAAATTCGCTCCCCCCTTCTGAAACTTTCAGCATTGAAGATGAACCTCATGGCAGTCGACCTAAAGCAATATCTGACGAGGATTTTGAGGAGATTTTGAAGGCTGACCCATCCCAAACAGTTCGAGAGATTGCAGAAAAGCTAGGGCGTCGCAAAGCAGTGTTGTAGCATTTGTTTAGGAACGCATTGGGAAGGTGAAAAAACGACAATTAGGTGCCCCACAATCGGAGTGACCGGCAGGAATCGGCACGTCTCGAGGTTCCTTCTTCGCTGCTTTTGCGCAAAAGAATTGACCCGTTTTTGAACCGATTTGTCACCTGTGATGAAAAATGGATCATGTATGATAACAGGAGACGTTCCGGACAGTGGTTGGATTTGGAGGAACCACCGAGGTAATTTTCAAAGCCGAACCCTCACGAAAAAAAATTCTGGTCAGGTTTGGTGGTCATCGGCTGTTGTAATCCACTATAACTTTTCATCACCAGGCCAAACCATCACAGCAGAACCCTACTGTGAACAAACCGACCAAATGTACCGAAAATATTGTCAGCTGCAGCCAACACTTATCAAAAGAAAGGGTCCGATTCTTTTGCATGACAACGCCCGCCCACACGTTTCACAAATCACTATCCATAAATTGAACGAATTGGGGTTGAAGTTCTACCTCACCCACCATATTCTCCAGACCTTTCACCAACCGACTGTCACCTTTTCAGACATTTTCAGAACTTCCTTGCTGAAAAATACTTCTTCAATTAAGACCAGGCAAAAAAGACCTTCGTAGATTTCGTGGATTCTCGACCACCCAGTTTTTCCTTTTATGGGATTTCTCGACTGCTGTCACATTGGCAAAAGTGTGCTGATTCGAATGGTGCCTATTTCGATTAAATCCGATGAGTATTAAAAGTTACGATCGTTTAAAGTGAAACACCCAAAACGCTGAGAACTTTCCGGACAACCTAATAGAAAACAAGTTCTGACTGCACCAATTTGCTCAAACAATCACCCACTATATATGATTTGCTTCGTCTGTTTGTTTGTGGTTTGCTATCACGAAATCCGGTTGCTACCAGAACAACAACTTAGGGCATGGACAATTGTGAAGACGCAAACGGTGTGGGCGGCATCAGCGTTGACAAGTTGAGCGTCACTGAAAAATTCATGAATCGGCTCCAGAGCGGGATGGGGGCAAAAAGGATTAAGGTTGGTAAAGGGTTGACCCATCAAATGGAGGAGACACACCTGAAATGGGCGGGGCGTGCTAGAAATGGGCGGTGCTTCCCAAATGTCGGTAACTCGGTCCCCGAGAGTTTAGAGATTGCAAAAAAGTCCATGGCGAAGACAAACATCTGGGGAGAGTCCGTCATATCTGAGGTGTGCTATGACCCGCCCACAGTGGGAGGGGCGTGACCTCAAACGTGAGGTATTAGTTAAAAAAATCGTAGTTTGGTCCTAGAGCACTACAGACGACGCGAAAAAGTGGATTATGGTCCCAAGTGGTCCACGTTTAGAAGTGCAAGATACACCGTTGCGGGCGGAGCTTGATAAAAAACGGTTCCAGAGCACTCCAGACACCGGGAAAAAGTGTATTAATGTCAGCGATTGGTCACCGGTTGAGAAATGCGAGGCACATCCGTTGTGGGTGGAGCGTGCGCCGAGGTGGGCGGAGCCTGATTTGTAAATTCGTAAAACGCTTCCAGAGCACTCCAGACATTGGAAAAAGTGGATTAATGTCAGCGGTGGGTCACCTGTTGAGAAATACGAGGCACACCCGTTGTGGGCGGAGCGTGAGGAGAGCCGGGCGGGGACAAACGAAAAAACTTTGAAACGTCCGAAACGTCCCCAGAGTAGTCCAGACACCGATCAAAGGTGACAGATGTGTGCAAGCCCTCGGCCATTGAAGTGAAATAGACATGCTTATTGTGGGCGAAGCAGGTGTCGAGGGGAGGGGCAAAGTCAAAAATTCACGAGTTGCTTGCAGAGCAGCATATGCACCGGGGACATGTGGACTGAAAGTCACAAGGGGTTAGTGGATGAAATGGGGCAGACATCTCAAAATGGGCGGGACGTACTGGCCGGGTGTGCTTGCTACGAGATTTCATACGTCTGAGTGACTTTAGGGATTGCAAAAAGTCGTTGGAGAAAAGAAACATACAGCGAAGGTTGAGTGTGTCTGTGGTGTATAGAGACCCGTCCACAGTGGGCTGTGCGTGCCTTCAAGCACGAGCTGCCTACTTTTACTGAGCTTCAGTGCATCGGCAGCCATGCACTTAACCACCGGTCGTCGTAAATGCATTCGATACCGGCGACGCCGAGCAGGTGGGGTTTCGTCTATCCTACTTGTCTTCGTGCGTTAAATGCACGACAAATACCCGGGTTCCTGTCATCTCTGCACTTCATCAATGCTCCTTACCATAATGTCATGCACAGTAATAGTGAAAATAGCAGGTATGATGTTAATGGTGAAGGAGCGTTGGTTATCTGTCAGATAAAAGGAAAGCCGCATATCAGTTGGGTATATAAACCTGTGAAAGTAGGTAAGCGCGGCCGAAAGACTGATAGAACAAACCGAATCTTTAGCTGAAGCAAGTTTGGCCT